GGGAAAAGAGTTCAATCTTTCATCCTTTCTCTTTCGTTAGACACAAAAACACTGGTAAAATGATAAAAATAAGAACTTCTATTGCTTTTCAGTCATTTTGCTTCCCAATTTTACTAGAAAGCAAGAAAGAATTTAAAAAAGTTTTGTTAATGAAGAACACAATAACCTGATCTGGTCTTGACCCACAACTGAGTAAACAATGAAAATACTGGAATAATAAAACAACTGCTTTATTAACTTTTCCTTTGTGCTCCCCCTCGGGAATAGGCATCAGGCAAATTTCCAATGGTAAATATAATAGGATCTAAACTTGTACACGTTTATGTGTAAGTTGAAGCTAATGAAGAAGTAAGTGATCACCAATGGTAAAAAAAAAGATTTACAGATGTAACCAACACAAGAGAACACCCTTCCTCATCCTTTCCCTCTTCAGTTTGTGATTCCAAATGTAAAAATGTTCACAAAGTGCCTAGTCCCATGCGTGGTAACAGTCACAGCATCAGTTAGCCACACAGTTACCCACTCTTCCATTTTCTCAGGCTGACAAACTTTTTAAAGTTATCCAGTTCAGGATTCTGCTAAAGACAAGCAGGTGCTATAGCTCAAAGCGCCTCTTGGATATTTTTTTAAATATAGTATTGGACCTTGTTAATGGAAAGAACTTTTGTAAAAGAGCCATCAACAACAGCAGAATCATACTTAAATCCCAAAATGATAATTACTGCTCTAGGCCAAGAAATAAAAGCTGTATCTTTTGTAATAATTTTTAAAACCACCGCTCAAAACTAGTGTAGGTTTAATACCCTTTGCTTAGGGTCACCTGCAAAACTTAATACAGGACTTCTTTTGATTTGTAGACAGTAAGATCGCCATTCAACCCTACAGTATAGGCCATCTTTTTCTGCATATGTATGAGGCCCATATAACAAAACAAACACAGATACAAACACACACACTTCAGAGGCCCAGGAGGAAATGGCTGTGTAGAATTTTAAATCAGAAACCCAAGGCTTAGGTTAGTAGTGTCAGGTTAAAGGCTAACCCATCTCCAAAGCTAATTCGGTTCTGAACAGTCCCATGGGTGTCTAGCTGAACAGAAGGAGCTAGGAAACCTTAGCAGGCCGGAGCCCAGACTGGGGAATTGCTGGGACTCTGTGCCAGGGGCTGAGGCTCACCCCAGACTTGGTATCAGATAATACCAAGTGCTAGTCTGGATTTCCAGGACTAATCCACTCCAGGGTGGAACTTCCAGGTTCCCTGGTGTCTGTGCTGTGTAGTGGGAGGACTGTGGGCTTTGTAGATCCAGACTGTGTCTGGCTGGTATTGTACTTAATATCAGAAAAATAGATCCAACACAGAAAGAGTCTATAAGTAGCAATGCTTTATGCTGTAGAATCCTTAGAGGGGTGCAGACACAGGGAGAGACCTAAGAGGAAGTGGAAAGCCCTCCTAATTTTCTACCGATTCAGTTTTCGTAAGTTCCTTTCTTTTTTTTTTTTGTATTCGAATTCTAATTTGCACTTCTTAAATGTGTTTACAGGTTCTACAGATTCTTAAAACAATGTACTAACAGTGGCCATTAACCACTTTTGTATTTACTCAAAAGGACTCTTTGGCTTCAAAAATAGTTTTCCCCCTCTCATTCCTTCAAGATGTCCCTTCCCCTCCTCCGTTACACACTCCTCTCTTTTAGAGTCAACTTTTAAATCTGCCCCTATTTAACTTCTTAAAACCCTGGGATGACTTCTAGGAGGAATACTTTAATCCCCAGACTTCCTATATTTTAAGTTTGATACAAAACAGTACTCCAGCAAAAGAGAAATCCTCCTCTCACATATAAACAAACAAACAAACAAACAAACAAAGTGTCTAGCTTTAAAACTGGGACTTAGAACTACAATTATATTCGACATTAAATACAAATTAACACTAATTTTTCCCAAAGTCAATAATTACTACTTCACACCACTTGCAAGTTTCAAGCCTCACTCAGCACTTAGCAAGCGTTGGGTGACAGTAACTGAACTGCAAAATACACCATTTGCCCAGAAATTGCGAAGTCCAAACGCAAACTGCTTTAAAAACATGTGTAAAACACACTTAGCACAGGCAACACACATCCACAAAACTCCATTCAATTCAAAGGTAAGTGGAAAAGCTCAGAAAATTAAGGCCTCACTTTCAAAACTGCAGGGACTTTTACGGTGTTTCCAAAGGTAATTGCTTCTTACTTCAGTAAAAGTGACTTTATGTGACTGAAAGAGGGAGGTGATTTTTTTTTTTTTTCAGTGAGTGGATAACAGGATTCAATCAGACAGCAAAGTAGGAGAACCCACTCTCAAAATACAACTTCATCACCAGGTATCGACGCGCAGGAAAGGCCCACCAAGCACACGAGCTAAAATGGAGCCTGAATTTCCTCTCAGACGCAGAGGGTAGTCGCAGGAGGTCAGGGTCAAGGTCATCAGCAGGGCAGGCTGCAGCTGCCCGACTGCACTGCACACAAGAGGAGGGAAGGCGTTCCATCTCCTTCACAGTCGAAACAGATAAATCCCTTCTCTCCCACCCTCCCTCTAACCCCGCCAACATTTTTTTTTTTTTAAGCAGGGGGAGACGAGAAGAAAGGGAAAATGACCAAATAACCTCACCGCCCTGTTTTCGCACACAAGCTCATCAGCTCCCAAAGTTGCCATCTAAGGGCAAGTTCGCAGAGAACACTGAAGCCCATTTTGTCCGAGCAGGGCAGACCTCCCCTGACCCCCCCAGAATTCCTGCCTCCTCTACCTCCCCCCACACGCCCCCGACAAGAGCCGGGCAGCGCGGCAGTCCGGCCATGTGCACGCACACTCTTCCACCAACTGCTGCGAGTTTTCTGTGAATCGCAGCGCGGAGCCTCCCAACTCGCCCTCCCCGACTCCACCGCCTTCTCCTTCCTCGCACAAAATTTCCCTACACACGCAGCCGCCTGCGAGTGATTTTATGTGCATATATATTACATATGTGATATTATCCTCAGAACCTCTAGCGGGCAGGCGAAGAAAGGACTGCACAGGGGCATTTTCTTTTTTTTTTAAAAGGAAGGGGAAAAAAGCAAAACCCAAGCCCTCTGCGTCGACTCCTGCGTACCGGGAAGGGGAAAGAAAGAGGAATGTTTGCTGAGCGGACTGCTTGCAAGTGCCCTTGCTCGCCACTTCGGCTGCGGCCCGGGTGACACGGAGGCGCGGGGGCGCCCGGCCCGAGCAGCCCGCGCCCCCCTCCCGGTCCCCTGGGCAGGCACCGCCGCGGATATTTCGCGAGGGGGAGATCGATCGCGCTGCCTGTCTGCAGCGGAAACGCACACGCTCACACACAACCCGAGCCCGAGACACCATAACCTTAACCCTTCCCCCACCCTCCGTGAACTTCAGGTGACCGACCACGTCGGCCTGACACCCGGGCGGGCGGGCGCTCCGGCTCCACTCCCGCCCCCAGCCCGGGTTTTGTAGGATCGGGCTCCGAGCAGCGCCAAACCGCCGGGAGAGGGGAGTAGTGTGGGGGGAGAGAAGAGAAATTGACCCTCCGTCTCCCCCGACCCCTCCCTCCGGCGCCTCCCGCGTCCCCTCCTCCCCGTCACCCCGCCCCACGCCTTCTCCCCTGCCCCCTCTTCCCTGCATTCAAGGAGCCGGGCGGCCCCGGGGGATATTTTTAGTTGCTTCTTTCTCCTTCACTTTTAGCTTTAGCAGCATCTCGGAACACTCAAAGCGGAGAAAGACTGGGGGTTTGGGGGGAGCTGGAGAGGGAGTGGGGGAAAAGTTAAGAGTCGCGCAAAGAGAAGCCGGAGGGAGGGCGGAGAGGGACCGGGGGCGCGGGTGGAGGAGGGGAAGGGGACCGGGCCGTGCCGGCGGGTGTGTGTCTCCAGTTGGCGTGTGTGGCTGCCGCCGGGGAGGGCTGTGATGCACTTTAGTCCTGGACTCTGCTCAGGCTCGCCAAGGAGGGGGTCTGAGAGCCCGAGTCTCGCCCGGCTCCGTCTGCTCCGACTGACCCCGCATTTTATTGCGGCCAGGAGCCCTGCTCCTCCCTCCCCTCGGCTCTGCAGGGACCTCGCGCGCCGCGAGCCGCCCTGCCTCCTGCCTC